CCTCCACCCCCCCACACAAATTCACTCTCCTGCTGGTGCTAGTCATTATGCAAGGTAGCCTGTTTCCTCTTGTTTTTTCCTACCCCCCCCCCCCCCCAGATATTCTGGTTTAACTTGGATTTTAAACTTGGAGAGTGGTCAGTTTAGATGAGCTATTACCAGCAGGAGAGTGAGTTTGTGTGTGTATGGGGGTGGGGGGGGGGAAGTGAGAAAACCTGGATCTATGCAGGAAATAGCCCGACTTGATTATGTAAAGAGTTGTCACTTTGGATGGGCTAGCACCAGCAGGAGAGTGAATTTGTGTGGGGGGGTGGAGGGTGAGAAAACCTGGATTTGTGCTGGAAATGGCCCACCTGTTGATCACTTTAGATAAGCTATTACCAGCAGGACAGTGGGGTGGGAGGAGGTATTGTTTCATATTCTCTGTGTGTATATAAAGTCTGCTGCAGTTTCCACGGTACACATCTGATGAAGTGAGCTGTGGCTCACGAAAGCTCATGCTCAAATAAATTGGTTAGTCTCTAAGGTGCCACAAGTACTCCTTTTCTTCATAAAGAACTGACTTTAATATTCAAATTGCTCTAAAACCCTAATCTGCCTTTTAGCATAAACATTTTATTTTTTCTCACTTGTTTTGCAAAATGTGATGATAACAGAAGATCATTTTTATATAAAGATTCAGCAGTATTTGCTTGAACTGTAATATATAAATCTGGGTGTTTCTATGAAAATAAGCATATAAATAATAATTTGTTATCTGAATAAATATTTTTAGTGGACCAGAAATGGATAAGGAGCATTTCTGTAACCCAGGCCTGATAGATATGATTTGCTTTGTTCTATCTGACTTACATGTTAACTAACAGTTGTTAACTATTTGCGGGCTTACCTTGTTCTTTCATTGTTTTGTGTATTTTGTTAGGGTTGTGTTTTTGTGGCTGTCTTTTAACTGTAAAACAGAGGAAAAAATAATATTGTCAAATATTGTATGATGTTCCCTCAGCAATTTGGTTTGCAGGAAAGGTATGGAAAAGCCATACAAATAGAGTTTTAAAATAAATCATAGGTACATGTGCAAATATAGGCCCTGATTCAGGGAAGAATGCTTAAGCACATGCTTAAGTGCTTTCCTGAGTAGGGCCGTATTGACTAAGGGTCAAAAGGGCCTACTTCACTTAGACAATTAAAATAGGATTTAGGGTCCTATGGTACTTTTGAAAATGAGTCACTTACATGCTTTTGAAAATTTGACATGATGTGCTCATTAATTATGTTATGCTATGGGCTTGTCTACCCTTAAAATGTTGCAGATGCACCACTGTAGGGTTGAGAGACATAACTAGGTCAATCTAATTTGTAAGTGCATGTCTACACTTGCCACTTAAAACGCAAAATGTCTCTTTTTTGTGCAAAAACCGTGGGAGGGTCTACACCTGTGAATGACTTTTTGTGGTGAAACTCAGAAGTTTCATAAGCACAGCACATTCTGTTAACACTTCCTTTCCCAAGCACAGCAGCAAAGTTTAATGATTTTCAGTTGAAACTCAGCAGCGAGGCGTTTGGCCTCCATGCTCCACATCTGAGTAAACCTTTTGCTCTTCCCCTCACAAATGTTATGTAAAGTACAGAACGCCGCAATAACCATGGGAATATTTTCCTCACTCGTTTCCAGTATACTGTACAAACATCTCCAGCACGCTTTCAAACAGCCAAATGCACACTCAACAGCCATTCTGCACCTACTCAGCCTGTTGTTGAAACATTCCTTACTGACATCTAGGTTTCCAGTGTATGGCTTCATGAGCCATGGCATCAATGGGTAAGCTGGGTCTCCCAGGATCACAGTGGGCATCTCCACTTCCCTGATGGTGATCTGCTGATCTGGAAAGAAAGTTCATGCTTGCAGCTTTCTGTACAGGCCAGTGTTTTTAAAGATACGTGTGTCATGCACCTTTCCGGACCATCCAGCGTTAATGTCAGTGAAACGCCCATGGTGATCCACTAGTGCCTGCAAAACCGTGGAGAAGTATTCCTTTCGATTTACGTACTCGGTGCCAAGGTGGCCCGGGGCAACTATAGGGATGTGCGTTCCATCTATAGCCCCACCACAGTTAGGGAAGCTGATTTCTGCAAAGCCATCCAAAATGTCATGCACGTTACCAAGAGTCACGGTCTTGGGCAGTAGGCTGTGATTAATGGCCTTGCACACTTGAGTTACCATGGCACCAACAGTCGATCTCCCCACTCCAAACGGGTTTGCAACCGACAAGTAGCTGTCTGGAGTTGCCAGCTTCCACAATGCAATTGCCACATGCTTCTCTACAGCGAGTGCAGCTCTCATTCTGGTGTCCTGGCAACGCAGGGCTGGGGAAAGCTCAGCACACAGTTCCATGAAGGTGGCTCTCTGCAGCCAAAAGTTTTGAAGCCACTGGTCGTCACCCCAGACATGCATAACGATACGATCCCACCACTCTGAGCTAGTTTCCCAAGCCGAAAAACACTGTTCCACAGTGCTCAGCTCCTCAGTTGCCAAAAGCAATCGAATGTTACTTATTTCCATTTCAGGAAGCTCATCAGGCATCTCTGACTGCAGTTCTCTTTGCAAGTTTAAGAACAGCTGCACTGCGATGCACGATGTGCAAGTGACAGCTATCGGAGTAGAGGACAGCAGTGCGGGATCCATTCCCGCTTGTAGATGTGGCGGGGAAAGCCACCAGACAGCAGGGGGTGTTAAAAAATGCCGCAGAAGAAACAAGGAAGTAATGGGGCTGCTGGGACATGAAGCAGTGCAGCACGGGGCACTGAGCATGGACCCAGAATGCCTTCCGCTCACCCCCCCCCACCTCCCACAAGACCTAGCGAGAGAGCTGCACTGTGGGACAGCTGGCCTACAGCGCTGCTCTCATCCCGATGGAAGTGCTGGTAGTGTAAACGCTCTCTGACGCCTGAGGAATTGAGTGAGTACACAAACAAGTGCTTTACTTTCACCGGTTCCCTGTCACCGGTGAAACTTACAGCGCAAAAACTCTGCAAGCGTAGACATACCCTAAATGTAAACCAGGCCCTATTCTGGAATAAGAATGCCTTTTTCCAGTTTAGCTTATATTCATTTCCAAATAACATAAATTAAACCAAAAAAGCTCCCTTATACTGGAATAAGAGTGACCACAGAGGGGTTATGTCAGTATAACTATAGCGGTATCAATTCACACCTTAGCTTCTACCAGTATAACTTTCTGGAGTAGACAATGCCTAAGGCTACGTCTCTGCTGCAGCTGGGCTGCTGCTTTAGCACCGTGGATGTGTCAGGAATCAGGGCCTGCAGCAGAGCTCCTCTACAGCCAGCCTCATTACTACAGCTGGCCAGCAGCAAGCAGCTGCTTGATTAGCCACAACACCTGACTGGCCGCAGAGGCCAGCAGCAGGCTCTTAGGTCAGCAGTAGCACCAGCTCACTGGTTTCTCAGTGCTCATGCCCATCACTTTGCTTGCTCCTGCTGCTCAGGCCTTGCTTCTGTCCTGCACCTGCCTTGAACCCCTCTTTGCCTGATACTCTGCTTGCCCCCAGGGGTGGCAGGTTTGTAGAAATGTTGGTGGTGCCCAGAGCCCACCCCCCAAACTCTGTCCCCTGCACCTGCCTAAGGTTCTGGGAGTTTGGTTGGAGGTCTGGGTTGCAGGCCCTGGGCTGGGGCAGGGGATTGGGGTGCAGGCTCTGGGAGGGAATTTGGGTATGGAAGGGGTGAGAGGTTGGGCTCTGGGAGGGAGTTTGGGTGCTGAGTGCAGGCTCTGGGCTGGGGCAGGAGTGCAGGCAGGTGAGGGGTGCAGGCTCTACAATGGAGTTTGGGTGCAGGCTTGGGGGTGGGGGTGCAGGCTCTGGGCTGGGGGTTTGGGGGCAGGAGGGGGTGTGGGGAGGGGGTGCAGGTTCTGGGCTGGGGCAGGGGATGGTGAGGGGTGCAGGGTCCAGGCTGAGGCAGGGGTGCAGGAGGAGGGGTCCTACCGCATTCCAGAGACACTGTTTGTGATGTTCCCTGCCACAGAGCGGGTGGATGTGTTTCCTTTAACCTTTCCCATTTTTCCTTATTCTTTTTAAAATTAATTGTTGATTAAATAACTTGCATTTGCTTTAACTTGTATGTAATGGCCAGTGGGTCAGAGAAGTGCCCAGTGCAGAGAGAGTACCCTGGAGTGGGGACACCCTAGCCCCTGTCCTAGGTGACCACAGCAGGATTGGGGGTCGAGCCCCCCAGGAATCCTGGGCCCAGCCTTGTTGGGGTTATGAGGACTCTGCCAGACAGGACAGTGGAAGGGGAGTCCTGAAAGGCAGGGAGGCCACTAGGTAAAGGAAGTGGGAGCGAGGACTCAGATCCTTTTGCTAGCCCACTTCACCGGGGTAGTGCAGAAGCCAGGAAAGTTCCCCACAATAGCGGAACTATTCCCCCACTTACATACACAATGGGTTAAGATGACCTAACTACAATGCTCAGGATGTGAAATTTTTCACATCCCTGAGCAATGTAGCTAGGTCAGACCTAAGTTTTAGGTGTAGGCCACGCCCTAGACTCCAAAGTTGCTCAGTCACTTTTTAAAATGTTACCAGTAATTGAACAGTATATAAAACTGATACAGGTACCAGGTATTTAACTAATCAAGCATGGTTTCTGGGAAAACTGTACTGCTGGTAGCCACTTGCTGTTGAGTAGATCTTGGTTTTGTCTGCGACTGACCATAATATGTTCCATATATTACATTTCTATTGGTTTCCCAAACTATTGGGCCAAATTCTGACCTCATTTAACCCCTGTGGAACTCTATTCCCTGTGAAAATTAGCTGCTAGTCTTACATTTGTTGGCTCTGTTTGAGTCAGTTTAAGGAGCTGTATGTTGGTTATTATCAATTGGCTACTGATTGTTGCTGTCTACCTATAGTTAAACATTTGCTGAATGAGACCTATAACTCATTTAATAAATGACTAATTAGCCACATTGGGGATTGTGGCGGTTCAATGACAAGACAGCACAGAGCTTTAAGCAAGCAAGCGAGCTGGTCTGCTAACGGGCTTCTGCCTGTCAGCTTTCCACCTTCCCCTTTATTCTTTCTCTCCCCCCGCGCATTGCATTCTCCAACAGATAAAAGGAATACACTGGCTTTGTTTAACATTCTTATTTACCAATTTCTATCTACCGCATTCCTTGCTCTCGGGCCTTGAGCCCAGTCCTGGGAGGCTTCCCATGGTTCATGTCATCTGGGCGAGATTCCAAGGTTCGTGCCCTTGAGAAGAGCTGTGTGTGCACAGCTCCTATACAACACTCCGGGTGTGCCCTGAATGTTGCCAAGCACATGAACCTTGTATGAATCCTACATCCCCTCCTTTTGTGTTTATTTGTGCTCGGCCATCTCATGGTAGCCATCAGTTTGCTTTTGCAAACCAATTAACTCCCGGACAGACGAGGTCATAACTCGTGGAGCCTGCCAGGGCGGTTCTCGACAAAGCCTTAACAAAAAGGAAATACATTGCACACAGCAACAGAAAAAAATGAGCTTAAGAAGGTAAAGTGTAATTGGCCGGGCCCCAATTAGCCATGCTAGAGTATTGGGAAGAGAGGTTCGTGTAAGCAGCGAGCATCATCTCATTTCCAGTTTCCTCAGGGTGATGACATACTGGAATAAGGCATGTACCTAACAGTTCCCCGGCTGCTACAGAATCAGATAAACAAAAGTGGGTAACATTTGCTATTGAAGCCAATATTTCCCATAGGTTATATGTCATTCGGGCCCGTAACGGAGGAAGCGCTCCCGAGCCAACCCCTACAGGAAATAGCAGGCACAAAAGGCATACAATCAATACAGAATTAGCAGTAATTTGGGTGAGAATTGCCACAAACAAAGTCTCAGGAGTCTCTGGCTGTTGGTTTGCTGCCAGTCTTCATTGAGCCGCGGCGACCAATGCTTTTACCGCTCCCCATGTCACGGGCTGGCTTGGGACGCTACGTCTCCTCCGTTTCCGTCCCGTTGTTGTCGACCCGGGAGGCACCGCGCTCTCCTCCAAGGTCAGCTGAAACTCCAGTATGCGGTTCGATAGCCCCTGGTGCCACGCCATGCTGCTTCAGTGCCGGTCGCACATACCAGGCCGGAACCCACAACGGTCCTGCAGGGAGAAACACAGCAGCATATCCCCAACCCCAAGTGATTAAAGGCACTGGGCCCAGCCATTGCGGATCGGGCAGCTAACGGTAATAGGCACGCGGTCTTTCCAGTACCTTGGACTTATGAAAACGCCAATCCGTGGGGGTCTGCTGATCTGTATTCAATGTTAAATTATTTAAAGTAAACAAAAGGATATGCATTTGTTGCTGAATGTCTCCTAAGGTTCGGAGACGCAGCTCCCCTTGTTTTAATTGTTTGTCGAGCAAGGTTTTTAGCGTGCGATTTGCACGTTCAACAATAGCTTGGCCTGTGGAATTATAAGGAATCCCGTGTTTGAGACGGACGTCCCATTGGGCACAAAAGGTGGAGAGGGCTGTGGAGCAATAGGCTGGGGCATTATCCGTTTGTAACTGGCTCGGGCGACCCATAACAGCAAAACAGGCTAGCAAATGGTGAATAACTTTGGGAGTGGCTTCTCCACGCTGTGGGGTCGCCCAGAGGAATCCCGAATAGGTATCAATGGAAACATGTAAAAACGAATAGGGGCGGAATTGTGGCACATGAGTGACATCCATTTGCCAGAGCTGATTCGCCGCGGTACCTCTGGGGTTAACGGCATAAGAAAAGGTAGGGGCAGCAGCGACACAGTGGGGGCAGGAACGAACAATAGAACGTGCATGATCAGCAGGAATGTGAAACTGTTGGGCCAAAACAGAGGCAGACTGATGAAAAAAGGCATGGCTTTCAATGGGGTCAGAAAAAAGGGAATTTACCTGACCATGTAACGCGCGATCAGCGCACGCATTGCCTTCAGTAAGTAGCCCAGGCAGAGCGGTATGACTGCGAATATGAGCAACAAAATAAGGGAAATTACGAGTGGTGAGGAGATACTGTAAGGACAAAAACAGGTGAAGAAGGTCCGCATCGACCTGAGGGGTAATAAGGGCAAGGGGTAAATGATCAATTACCTGATAAACATAATGCGTGTCCACGATCAAATTAAAGGGACAATCAGCAAAAAGTTGAAAGGCCAAAATAACAGCAGCTAGTTCCAAGGACTAGTAAAGCTCTCCAAGCGCTGTGCATGCAAATATTGTTGTACAAGTGAATGAAGTGCTTTCAGCTTTTCTAGGGGGAGGGGCCACTGGTCAATCCATACGGGCTCTAAGGATTGCCATACCAATGGTAATGCGGATGGCAAGGTGGGTGAGGGAGGATTTTGGGCCATTATATATTAATATCGAGGGTGGTGTCCAGCTTTGTAAGTAAGCCACGGCCCCAAATATTGAGGTGGACAGGGAGTACAAAAGGGCGGATTGTAGCAAGGGCACGGCCTCCTGGTTTAGAGACCGTGACCCAGGACAAACTTTGGCGCACGGGTTTGCTACCCCCGATCCCCCACAACTCTTTAGAAGGAACTGTTGGCCAACCGACCAGCCACTCCGGATCACGAATCACCGTAACGTCAGCTCCAGTGTCCACCAGCCCTGTAAAAGGAACATTATTTAAGAGAAGTGTTAACTGAGGTTTCGAGGGGCAGACCGACATTGTTAGAGCAACAAGTGGAGAGGACGTGTTGTGAGATGGCGACTGAGCCAGCGTCAATCCAAAGCTGTTCCTGCCCCGGGCTCGATCCTCTGCGGCTGGCACCTGATAGGGGACTAAAATCAATTGCGCAATTGACCGTCCACACGGGAGCGACTGCGGAAGATGGGGCCACACCTGAACCTTAATAACGCCATTGTAATCGTTGTCAATGACCCCTGGGATGACAAAAAAACCCTGTTTCCCAGCGTGTGAGCGAGAGAGAACCAGACCCACAAATCCGGCAGGGAGAGGTCCCGTCACCTGGGTAGGTATGGCGCAAACCTCCCCCGGAACCGAAAGTCAGCGTCCTTCTGCATAATCAAATCAAGCTCTGCACTTCCGGCAGTCGCCGACCTCATGGAGTCTATGGATTTTAAAGCAGAGGAACAGTTGTCTGAGTGGGAAACACCCCCGTTTGGCCCTGGGTTCGGGGGGAACCCCTCGTGCGGTTTCCCGACCCACTACGACACTGATTAGCCCAGTGATAGCCCTTCCGACACTTGGGGCACTTCTTTGAGGGGTGGGCGGGCGCCGTCGATGAGCGGCACTCCTGCTGAAAGTGACCCTCCTTACCACAGCGGTAACAACGCTTCCCCTCCTTTCCGCTTTTCCGCAGGGCGGCAGCCAGAACTCCAGCCTAATGGGCTTGGGTGCCGATGTTCTGGCACGCCCGCAGCATGTCTGACAGCTCTAGAATGCCAGCGGCTTGTGCTGCCTGGAGAGCACGGCGGCAATCCTCGTTCGCATTTTCAACCGCCATTTTTAACAGGATCTGCTGAGCTGCTGCAGGGCTATCCACCTGCCGGAGGATAGCCTCCTGCAATCTATTGGTAAAATCCATAAAGGACTCTGACGCACCCTGACGGATACTGGCAAAGCTTTTGGTAGGCTTGCCTGAATCCGGGACCTTCCGGAAAGCATGCTGGGCACAGGTGGAAATAATGGGGAAGACGGCCTGAGGGAGTTGAGACTGCAGCTGGACATAGCAAACTGGCCCTCTCCTGCCAAGTGCTCATAAATGATACCTTGCTCTCTATACACCTGGGCTTGGCGTTCCGCCATCTGCCGAAATTCACTAAGCCAAATAACATACTGACTAGGTGTCAGCATCATGCGCAACAGCGCCTTCCAGTCTTCAGGGACCAGAGAGTACCCAGAACCTAGCCCTTCAATGAGACCACGCACATACGTGCTAGTCAGACCGAATCTGCGAATCGCTTTCTTTACCTCTCTGATCACTGAGTAAGGCAAACTGACCCAGTTTGCAACCTGGTTGCCCTGGCCATCATCCTGCCAGGTCACCGGACAAACTGAGACCAGATCAGCCAGCTCCTCCGCTGTAATATCTGAGCGAGTCTTCGCTGCGTGAACCATTTGTTGCACCAGCAAAAGCCCCTGAGCAGATGTGGACGACCCCCCAGGGAACCCCGGAGCATGGGGACCCACGGGGGGATGGTAATCACACACCGGCTCCGGTGGGGAAGGCCAGGGAGGCGGTGGTAATAGAGGCACTGGGGGCAAAGCAGGGGGAGGGATGGTTGCAGGAGTGGACGGGGTGGCGAGATCGGCAGCCCCTCTGTTGGTGTGGGAGAGGGCCTTTCCGAGGCGACACACTGTGTCGCATCGCTACGAGGGGGGACGGCTGCAGGAGTGGACGGGGGTGGCGAGAGCATCAGCCCCGCGAGGGAGGGCCTGTCCGAAGCGACACACTGTATCGCGTCGCGGCAGAGGTGCCAGGCATGTAAAGCCTGCACAGGTGCCCGAGGCCCCTTGTGCAATGTCTGGCCCAACCGCTCCCAGTCCGCTAGCTTAAGGGTTCCAGCTTCAGGGTACCACGGGCATTGGGCACTCACCTCCTGTAGCAGGAGAGTGAGTTCTCGAGTGGGACAGTCATGCTGAGCCTTACACAGCAAATACTGTAGCTCACAGCGGTGTTGCACTTGCAAAGCAGAGAGGGAGCTTTCCATACTTACCACAATGAAAAATACTCACCGGGATCCGCGAAGCGGATGAGTGACGCGTCTGAAACCCTTGCTGGGCGAGGTGAGTGCTGAGGGCCCCACGTTTGGGCGCCAGTTGTGGCGGTTCAATGACAAGACAGCACAGAGCTTTAAGCAAGCAAGCGAGCTGGTCTGCTAACGGGCTTCTGCCTGTCAGCTTTCCACCTTCCCCTTTATTCTTTCTCTCCCCCCGCGCATTACATTCTCCAACAGATAAAAGGAATACACTGGCTTTACCAATTTCTATCTACCGCATTCCTTGCTTTCGGGCCTTGAGCCCAGTCCTGGGAGGCTTCCCGCGGTTCCTGTCATCTGGGCGAGATTCCAAGGTTCATGCCCTTGAGAGGAGCCGTGTGTGCACAGCTCCTATACAACACTCCGGGTGTGCCCTGAATGTTGCCAAGCACATGAACCTTGTATGAATCCTACAGGGGATAAAGGAGTTTACTTTTCTCACCAGAGTCAGTGTAATTCATAAGGGAACATTTCATGTCAGAAGATGTTTCTGATTTTGGAAAAGAGGAAGGAAATAGGGCCCTCTTGTTTACTTGGGCTAAGGATTTGGTCTGAGACAGGTAAGGAGTTCACAGATTGTAAAAGATAATGTATTGGTGAGTTTAAAACATTGTGCATTTGGTAAATATATTAGATTTGATTCTGGCCTCGCTTACCTCAGTGTAAATTGGGAATCACTCTATTGCAGTCAGTGGAATTAGACTGATGTAAAACTGACAAGTGAAAGAAAATCAAACCCATTATTTACAGCTGGATTCTGAAATCTCATGAATAAGTCAGATGGAAGTAATTGAAAACAGATTTAAGGTTTTAGTCACAAAACCTCCATCAATGAATGAGCTATTGCGGAGTACCTCATTCTCAGAACGCTTCGTTTTTCTTTAGAAAGTCTGTGTGAATTTTGGGTTAATGCCTCAGCCTCATCTAATCACACTAGTTCTTTTAATACCATGAGACCAGCTTGCATGCCCACATCCCAGCGTCAGAACCCATCCCACTATGAATGACACAGTGATGAACACAGCATGCCTTTGAGTCAGATCCCTGTGTTTTCCAACTCCACCCAGGGATCTAGCAGGACGCTGGTTGCTGCCGTTTCAATTAGAAATTTCCAATACATTGTATTTGAATTAATATTTAATATTTTAAAATTATTCTATACTGTCAGGATTTTGCACAGGTATCTGAACTGTTAGATTTGTTAATAATCTCACAATGCAGAGAGTTAGCATGGTCGAGTGAACTGGGCATGGGATGAGATTAAGAACTCCTGAGATCTGATCCCATTTCTGCCACTGACTTGCTATGGGTCCCACCCGAGAAGTCAATAGGCTTAGGATCAGGCCCTGAGTGACTGTGTCCAAATGTTGCTGGTGTCATTCCAATGAAGTCAGTGGGGTTACACCGTGGATTAATTTGGCCCAGATTGGTTATTCTTTCTCACCTGAAAAAAGGGGGTAACTGGACTTGCTTGCCTCGTAACAGTGTTGTGGTTCACTAGTTAATGGTTGTACTATGTTCTGAAGATGTAAGGCACTATGGGATGGAGCATTGGACTGGGGCTCAGGGGACCTGGATTCTTTCCCCGCTCTGCTACTGGCCTCCTCGGTGACTTTGGCAGGTCATGTTTCCTTTCTGTGCTTCAGTTTCCCCACTGTAAAAATGGGGATAATGATACTGACGTACTTTGAGATCTACTGATGAAAATAACTATGTAGGAGCTAGATATTATTTAATTGGTTATTATTTAGAAAGGGCATATAAATACATTAAAGTGTGCATTTCTAAAGCAATGTAAGGGCAGAGGCAGACTAAAGATGCATTTATATTCATATAAATAACAGGGCCCTGTTCATTCCTGGCTTAACTCCACTGGCTTTCATGGAATTATTCTGGTGATGAATTAGGCCCATTGTTTGCTTTTTAAAAGTGTCACATGTGACTTTACGGAAATGGGGTTCCCTACCCATTCCAATGGTTCAGAAAGTATAGGGATAAAGGTGGGGTCAGCTACAGCCTCATCTCCACCCTGAAGAAGATGAACTGAAGTAGACGGGAAGGAATTTATGGCTTATTTATGTATTAAATAAATATATAATACATGTGCCAAGCTGTCTTGCAGTGGCTCAAGAACGTGAGTACCAACGTCACGGCAGACTGCTATGAACCAGAGTGCCAATGAGTTACAATCTTAAGGTTGAAAGGTAATACAAAGTTCTATAATAAGCAAGTTCTTTAGGGTTCACCCGGGCTAAACAGCAAGGGATCTCTTGCTTGTGCTTAGAAACTTGCCCCCCAGAGTCCAAGCAGCACAAAAATGCAGTTCCTTCTTGTTAGAGACTTCTCTTCCCCACTTCTGCTTAGAGCTGCAAACTCAGCTGATGAGAGGAAATCACTTGCAAGACCCATCTCCGGGGGAAGGAAGGGGAATAAACAACAAAGTATTTTGTCCTCTTTAATGTTCCATTCTAGTCCGTCTGGTGTCAAAGGAATACCTTCTGTGGGAGATCAGCATTTCACACTGGTTAAGTTATCTCTCCTGTCTGGTGATTTACACAGGCTTGGGCTTCACTACCACTCGTGGAGGTGGTTTTATTATGTTGACAAAAGCTCTCTCCTAGAGGCATAGAGAGGCTACACAAGCGATCTTATAGCAGCCCAGCAGAATGGTACAGCTATACAGCTGTAAGCTTGCTGCTGTAGACGGGGCTACAGTTACAGAGGCCTACAATGCGAATGTTCAAATATTACCTTACAAAGAAGGGACTGAGATGTTATAAGTGAGATTAATGGATGCAGCAATGCACAAGCATTCAGTAAAACCTAAACACTAAATACATTCTTATAATCCTAATACCTACTTTAACAATAGTAACACACAGGTTACTTATTCCAGCTATATATTTGTCTATGTGTTCAACTCTGATATGGAGACTTTGGCATGAGCTAGTACCTGGTCTGCCAGCATCATAACATGTTTATCGTGTCAGTCAGCACATGTACAATATACTTTGTTAATCATACAAAACACAGGTAAAACAAAAATCATAGGTAACAGGCTGAACCAATGTCAGGTAAAGGACCTAAAACCCCATTTAAAGCGTTCAGTTAAAATTGACTCACTTGAAAAACTCCAGTCTTCTCCAACCCACCCAAAAGCCTGGGCAGCTAGATAGGACCTGAGTTTGTTAAGGGCACACGAAAGCCTATCAGACTAGGAAAGAATAGCTGTAAGTAGATGAAGTGTGGCCTGTTCTCCCTTGGAACCAATTATAAGACAAATCCTCCATGGAAAGTCGTGGTTTAATTACGAAGAGGGTTCTTAGTTCTGGTTCTGAGGTTCGGTTCTCTTATGGTTTTCCCCAATGTTCCATTGAGATGTGTAGGGTTTATGCCCTAGTGGGAACAAACCGGGGAGGTTGCTCTCAAACTCCATGGGTATGCACAGAGCTACTGAATATAGAAGGACTGTTATGTGGCAATTCCTGAACCTCTGCTTAGGCTCTGAGTCTTCTGCAGCTCTCCAATGGAGCCATGCTGCCAAGGAATCCAAGGCAGCAGTGTGAAGTGGCCATTCATATTAACAGGTTGTTCACTCTGAAAGAAGACTCTGTGCAGGGATTGGGGGTGGCCTTGCTACTGCAAACCCATCGTGGCAGAGGTTGATGGCAAGGGCCATCATACACTGTCCTCTTCTCAAATGGATAACTCCTCCCTCCTCCAGGATGGACCATGGCCTGTTTAAACCTGTAAGCAGCAATCTGGGGAATTGAGAGGCCCCAGTCTGCTTAAAGAGGAGTGATGATGCCCTCAGCAAAGAGCGCTTGTGGATGCTCATTGCCACTACCCTCCCTAACAGAGGAAGGGCTATGGCATAAGGCAGGTCCACAGGGAGCCTCCATTTAGGAATGTGCCTGTGGCCCTGGAATGACTAAAATTTGGCTCTGCTGCTTCTTGCCCACACCTATCTGACTCCTCTCCATCTGTCGATCTTGGATCTAGTCTGCTCCCAAGCTAAAGGAGGAATAGTCTCTAAAATAGTCTTGTGGATAGGGAGGAAGCAGTAGAAGTGATATATCTTGGCTTTAGTAAGGCTTTTGATACTTTCTCACATGATGACAGGTTTCAGAGTAGCAGCCGTGTTAGTCTGTATTTGCAAAAAGAAAAGGAGTACTTGTGGCCCCTTAGAGACTAACAAATTTGTTTGTCTCTAAGGTGCCACAAGTACTCCTTTTCTTTTTTCTCACATGACTTTCTCATAAACAAACTAGAGAAATATAGTCTAGACCTATGTTCCCCAATGACCAGTCTGTGGACCAGTCCCCGTCCATGGTAGCCTCCTTGCTGGTCCCTGAGATTTCCCTGACACAGTTTAGGAAGGTAGCAAGCCAGTCCCTGGTATCTAAAATGTTGAGAAACACTAGTCTAAACAAACATATTATAAGGTGTGTGCAAAACTGGCTGGAAAATCCATATGCAGTAGTTATCAATGGTTCACAATCAAACTGGAAGGGCTTATGAAGTGGGGTCCTGAAGGGATCTTTTCTGTGTCAGGTTCTATTCAATATCTTCATAAACAATTTAGATAATGGCATAGAAAGTACATGGATGATACCAACATGGGAGGGGTGGTGAGTGCTTTGGAGGATAGGATTAGAATTCAAAATGATCTTGACAAACTGGAGAAATGGTCTGAATTAAACTGGATGAAATTCAATAAGGACAAATGCAAAACACTATATTTAGGAAGGAATAATCAACTGCATAAATACAAAATGGGAGATGACTGCCTAGGAAGGAGTACTGCAGAAAAATATCGGAGGGTTATAGCAGATCGCAAACTAAATATGAGTCAACAAGTTTTTTGGATGTATTAGTAGGAGTGTGATAAGCAAAATATGAGAAGTAATTCTTCCACTCTACTCAGGACTGATAACGCTTCAACTGGAGCATTGTGTCCACTTCTGGGCACCATACTTCAGGAAAGATGTGGACAAATTGGAGACATTCCAGAGGAAAGCAACAAAAATGATTAAAGGTCTAAAAAACGTGACCTATGAGCATGGGTGGCCGATGACCCAATCTTTAAAAAAGGGAAGAAGGAGGATCCTGGGAACTACAGGCCAGTCAGCCTCACCTCAGTCCCCGGAAAAATCATGGAGCAGGTCCTCAAAGAATCAATCCTGAAGCACTTACATGGGAGGAAA